TTTTATTTTACAACCATTTCAAAAATGTGTGACAATGACTCAATCATAAAATCTCTCCAACCTTATGTCTCATGTTTTTGTTTTTGTCTTTACAACCATTAGTCCTGAACATTGGTAGTTGAACCATAGACGTATAGATCAGGAGACCCAAAGATTTATATAACTGCTCTGTGTCTATTTGAGCTCATTTAAATTTTTGTCCACTAGCTTGTTTTTTGTAGCATTTTTGTTGGTGTTACCACAGATGGTCTTGAGTGTATCAGAAGCAAAAAAACCAACAAAAAAAGGTATTTTGGATGGGGGCGGGGGGGACAGCAAATCTACCTGCACTCCCGGTGGTCTCCTAGGCTGAAAACGGCTGAACAACAGGGGCTATGTCAGCTTTTTTTATGTCCCATCACCTGTTTCAGCTGCTGTCTCTGCTGCTGTAGCCAGCAGGGATCTGGTTCTGGTCTGAATTCGTTGTGGGCCTGACAGAGTGGGTGGGCAACTTGTCCTCCTCCCTCCCTCCTCCTCCACTTCCCCTGGTGATGAAATCAGCTTATATAATCATGTGGTGCAGTTTGCCTCTGTTGCGATTATAATCTTTTACATATTCCATGCCAAACAAACAAATAAACAAACAACTAACCTCCGAGTCTTAAGTCCACCGCACCGGCACATTGTGTTGCTCCTCCTCCTCGTTTCTTCATCCCAGCTCAACTCAGCACTCAGAGCTCCCTCCACAGTCAAATGATGACTCATTTTGACACACAGACTAACACACACAAACACTGCTCACACACTCTAACACACGTCAGGTTTAAAAACCAACCCACTTCTGGCTTCCAAAATTCCGAAATCAATCCGTCTTTGGTCCGTCACCAAAGCCTCTCAGAAGCTTCTCTCCACTAGCGTACCGACAAACTGTTTTGATTGGTTGTTTCAGAAATATGGTCTGTTTGAAGAAATGGGGAAAATAGGTTTCATAGTGCAGTCATGCACTTCCTGGTCACAAAATGTTCTCTAAATGTGCACCAAATGCGTAAAAATGTGCACATTATGGCAAAAATTATTCATAATTAAATCAGGTTTTATTTGGAAGTAAATAAAAAAATACAACTACATAAAAACATCACTTTTATAAAGTTTAGTCCGTGCCATCCAACCCAGTTCAAATGAACACTGAAAGCTCTCACTGTTGTTCACAGAAGCCCTGTAAATGCATCACAGCTTTTGACATCAGAGGTTTAAAAGAAATAAAAAATTCCTGTATTCACAACGTGATCCGGAACATCACCAAAATTTAATGGTGTGTTCCTTGGCCCAGTACCCACGTGTTAAAAATGTCATGACAATCCATCCACAAGTTTTTGAGTAATTTTGTCCACAGACAGACCGACAGACAGAAATACGCGACCGAAAACATTACCTCGCCCTTGGAGGAGGCAATGATGAATTCATATGTAGGATAAAGACAAATAATATTTATTGTCTCACAGATAAAGGGGGGGTTTCCCATTAAACTTGACCCATCTGCTGTTATTCAAACAACATTTGACCCAAATTCAACGATACCACCTCAGGCTGACAAGCCCACATAAGAACACTTCAGCTGTTCACTGCAAACCCAGTTGATTCATCAACACACTGCAGATAAATGACATAAAATCTAAACACCAGCAAAAGTAACACTCCAAACAGGATCAGGTTTCAGGTGTTTAAGATTAACAGCAGCATGAGAACCTATTTTAACTTAAATGTACTGCAAACTACCTGCTACTGGAAGCCTCTTTTGGACCTATACATACTATAGTGCTAACAATTAGATCAAATATGTAGTCGATATGAGGAAAAGAGTCAAAGTTTTCATTCGTTGTCTAAAGCGTCATAGTGGGACAGGACCGTATCATCCAACACAAGAGGAAGATGAAACTTGTTTTGAGTCCATGAGTGAGGAGGAGACTCCAAATCACAAGCTCATCTTCTAAAGCAAACCTTAAGAAGAGAAGTAAAGAAAAAAATACTCTGAAAAACAGTAACTGAACCAGTCGACATTCTTGATCAAAGCTCACCTCCAGAACCAAAGAAAGCCACTGGCAGAATCTGGAAATATGAAGTTATTGATGAATTCAGTGATCCTGATTCTGTATTTGAAGCTGCTGATGCTGTGAAGATGATCCAACATGATCACCACACCAACCTTTACTCTGCCCAGGAACTGGGGGATCCAAATCAACTGGAGCCCTGAGGAGACTGAAACTTTCCTTTAAATGCTGCTCTTCATGGGTGTTCCTGCCTGCACTGCCTCAGTTTAGCAACTAGTGATGAACAGCAGTTCATTTTAGTGTAGTGTCATTAGAATCAGTTCATTCAAACCATTTGTGTCTCTTTATTTCCATGTGTTTTTACTGTTTTCTGTTCTGCATGCACAGTCTGCTCATGATCCTGCTCCGTCCTGTCTGTTGACCAATAGGAGAGGAGCTGAGCCTATAAGGACCGCCCACCTTATTTACATAATGAGACAGAAATGCATGAAGTTAAAACAGGAGACAGAAAAATGTAAAAACACACG